AAGGATAGAAGGGAATGGGATTAATATGAGAAAATGGAAAAATAGGAACAAAATCTTTGTAAATAGGGAGGGATGGAGGGGTTGAAGGGAGGGCTAGGCACTAACCTATTTTTTTCACATTGTCATTTGACACAGAAATTGAAAGACGATATTGATCTAGCTTCAACAAATTTAAAATAAGAAATTGTTCCCTGAAGAAAATTCCACTTGTAAGAGTAAAATTGGTTTTTTTAGGAAAGTAGCTTTTGAAGGGCACTGACATTCTTTTTTCCCTACAGGGCTAACATCTCTATTTGTCAGCAAAGTCTCTCATGGGTCCCTGGTGCTGCAACACCAAGGGAACCACTCGTCTGCCAAGACTGTGTAACTTTGACCTCTCTTTGCCAGGGCCATTTCTCAGCATCCTGTCTGCAGCCAGCAGCCTGTAAGTTGAGGTACTGTCTTCCCCAAGACAAGAGGCATGCTTACTGCTTGCTATAAAACAGCAGGTCCCGGAGCAGAGGGTCCCTCACCTGCATGCAAACTTTGCAGGTGCAGGCACCATCCAGGCCCACCCACCTCAGTCCCCCGTGGGACCTGGGCCTGGGGAAAGATGTGGCATGTTGCCATTTGGGGCTGCTTTTGCTGAACTAAAGTCTTTCAGCTCTGACCCAGGAGTCACGTGTCTTCTGTCAGCATCCATAAAGCTGTGATAAGTTAACATGTTAGCTTTAGAGGCAGGTAAAATCTCAGAACTCTCACAATTCTCCAAGTCTGGGATTACTCACAGCAGAAAACTTGAGCACCCTCAAGATAAAACAAAGTGAAATTTCAAGAGGAACACTCAGTGCTTCAGAGATAAATAATGGATGGCATAAATTAAAAATACTCCTTCACTGGTGTAAACAGAACTTTTAGCCTACAAAAAATGTTTTAGGGAATTTTGATATTTCATTAATTTTTACAACCTGACTCTACTTATTTATTTGTGTTATATAGAAAATAAGTAAAATGGTAAGGTTTTACCATTTGGAGGTAAATTTGGAGGTTCCACAATACAAATTAAAAATAAAAATATCTTTTACAAGTCATGAGAGGAGTTTCACTCTTTAACGGAAATGGATTGTCCAACTACATAATTTTATCATTTATTGTACCTTAATAATATATTGAGGAATTCATTTGAAGATTCATGATTAAATATCCACTTTTTAAACTCAGGCTTCTACTTTTGCTAATGTAAATACATCTGTCATCTTTCACACTGAATTCTTAGCTTTACAGGTAGGAATTATTCACTGATGCTTTAAAAAGGGGGGAAATTCTAAGCCTTTTTGAGTACTGCTTGGCTACAGAAAATACTATCATATAGCTAATACTATACTAATCTGACATTAGCATGCCATGGCATTCAACGAAACAGAGACTCTAGAAATCAAAAGTCTTTGAGGTTAAGAAATATTAATTCTTTTTATCAGATCTGACTTTATTATATGAGTTTGAGGCAGTAACCATTCTTCTCCTTCTTCTTCCCTTCCTCCTCCTTTTTCTCTTTCTTTAACTTTTACAAAAGTTATCCCTTCTCCCTCAGGGCCCAGGAATAATGGTCAAAGAAAAGTCTCCCTGCAAAGTACCAAATAATGTTCAGAGAAGGCAAGAGCATGAGAGAGAGAGAGAGAGAGTAAATGAGAGAAAGAAAGAGAAATTCTATCCTTCCACATTTGGAAGGCTGTAAACTATAGGGTTTCTACTATCAGCATTGTTTATGGCAACATGTTCTATAACTGTTTTCTTTGGAAACAATAATAACGGACTTACAGATGACCCATTTGTTCTGTAAAGTGAATGTGTGATATACATTTAAACACCCCTTATTCAAAAGTATGAGTGCTGAAAAGAAACATTTAACATATATTTGTTCCATATCTTCAGTAATATGCTAGGTCTGTTTCCTCTCTTAAAAAAAGGGAAAAAAACAACAAATAATTGGACAATAAATATTTCTTTAACATTTTAACCATAATTCTAGCTCCCTAGTTTAGAATTTTACTATCCATCTTTTCAAAAGCATTAATTAAAAAGTTCAAAATTAAGTCACTCTTCGTAGGACATGGTACTCAGTGTTGATGATCACAGCATACGAAGCTTCCAAGGGTTTCCCTATTTATTGTCTGTCACATTGTCTATTTTGAAATTGGTGAGATTTAACTTATTAAAAAATTCCAACACAGCAATTTGAAAGTAAATAGTACATTGGTGCAGGGCATGGTGCTGCACACCCATAATCCCAGCACTCTGGAGCCCAAGGCAGGTGGACTGCTGTGAGTTAAAGGGCAGCCTGAGCCATAGTTTGAGCCAGTCTGGGCCTGAGTCATAGCAAGACTGTGGCTCAAAAAAAAAAAATACACACACACACACACACACACACACACACGCACACACACACGCACATTATATTACATTGGTAAAGGTAGAAAGATTTTCAAAGGTCACCAGACTTCTATACTGCGCCCTACTCGAGGGAAGTGAACAGGGGAATGTTACCACTGAGGAACCCTCCACAGTAAATGGCCAGGCCTGGTGGCACAGTCTAGCAATCCCAGAACTCTGGGAGGCTGAGGCAGGGCTACTGCAAGTTTGAGCCTAGGCTGGGCAACTTGCCAACTCAGTGAATCCCTGTTTTCAAATTTTTAAAAAATATTAAAAGGGTTGGAGATGTGGCTCAGTGCTGAGGCCCTGGGTTCATTTCCTACTATCCCCACCCCCAAAACATGGTAAATAAATTCATAAGGAGAAGCAGAGCAGTTCTGGAACTCAAGCCTGGAGAGGGGCCACAAGAGTTACATTTGACTGATCTGAAAAGGCGAGGCCAAGGGACAGCCATCTGCCAGACACTTTTTCTGGCCATACAGCTTGCATACAGAAGGGTCTTAATACTCGTGTATCTCTACCTGACAAATGAAAGAAGACTTTTTAAAGAGAACAGAGGCTTTTTGGTAACAACATGCTTAAGATATTTTTTTAAACTTCAATATATTTTATCACTTTCTCTGTGAGTTATACCACAATGGGAGCAAAAGTCCCCCACAAATAGACCAATAGCAGCTTTAAAATAAAACCCTCCCAAGGTTATTGTTTTGAGGAAACCCATACATGTCGATGCATAGAGTCTCTTAGTTTTGGGAGCCACACAATGGGTATAAGAGGAAGGTATTTTAAAAGCTCTTCTTTGCTGCTACCTGCTTTGAAATTCTACATGGAGCACTGACTCCTGTGACTTCTCCAGCCTATTGAAGTAATGGCTCTCATACTGGTGCGCATAATTTTATAAAATGGTGAACTGGACTTCATACTCACCTTGTTAGCATTGCTAAAAAAATCATTTGCCTTTTTTAACCAGATCTTCCTTTCCATCATGAGTTGACCAAGCTCATCTTGAAACCGATTCAGTTTCTGGTTAGAGAGCTGTAGATGTTCTCTCTCCACATAGTCCTTTGACAGCAGAATCCCCACTGCCTCACCCTTCAGCTTCTCCACAGTGGAATTCCATTCCTAGAAGAGAGCACTATGTGAATACACAATGAGAAATCAGCAGTATCCAGGGCAGAAAGGAGTCCTCACCACAACCCAACCATGCAGGCACCCTGATCTTGGACTCCAACCTCCAGGATCGTGTAGCTCAAACAAGGATGTTCCCCCTTTGGGATCTCTGACAGAAATGGAAGAACATTCACATGTGTTGAATGTGTAGGAAATCTGTCCTTATATTTAAATCACAACCCCTCCAAAAAAAAACTGCAGTAATAAATACTATACTAAAGGTCTGACTACCAACACATACTTACAATAGAAAGGGGTGTAGAAGAATGGTATAAAGGGAAAGAAGGTGAGAGCAGAAAATGGCAGGGTGGAGGTGAGTGACTGATGGATTACCTGATTGCCCTGCACACATGTCACAGTCATGTCTGTTACCTTTGCCTAAAAACACACCCAACACAATCAATAGCATTTTTAAAATCTCTAACTCATTTTGCCATTTTTATTCATATAAATATGAAAAAGTATCTTTCCCACTCTTCAGCCTTCCTGTGAGTGTGGATAAAATGGGTGCCAGAAATGAGAAATTGCACATCTATTCCCATCGTTTTTGTGTCCGCCCACATATAGAACTGAAAATAATACTTGTTATTCATCACAAAATTAATACCTGTTAGTGCGTAGTTTTTCCTACTTCCTGACCCTAGTTTTTCCTCTCAATGCTTCACTCTTAATGACATATAAACATTTCTTAAGAAGAAAAGAGATAGCTTTTTATGTAACCTTATACAAGAGTAAAAAAACTGTGAAGAGAAAAAAGAAAATAAGGCTGGAGGAAGCCAGCCTACATTTAATGTAACGTTTTAAGGGAAATTTAAGTTTCTTGCAAAAGGACTGAAGCCAAATTTAGTTTCATAAAATAATGATTATCTCTAACATGACAGACTTGTTAGTGAAGTTTCTGGTATGCATTTCAGCTGAGATGGAGCGGTCAATATAGGTTATTTGTGGAAGCACAAAGTTAGTACCAGACTTCAAAAATCTCAGTCTGACTCCATCCTGGCTTGCTCTCCCAGTGCAGAATGTCCTATTATTAATTTACTTTTGTTATATTAGGTGGTATAAAATGAGTATAATTTTAGAGCAATTTTTGGTATATTTACATCAACTGAGAAGAGTCCATTACTCAAGGTCATATACCCAAAAAGTGCCAATCCCAGGACTAGTTCACAGGTCTGTGTATCACGCTACCTGTCAGGGAATTGAAGATGGAGATTCTACAATTCCAAAATTCTCCATGTAGTGCAAAAGCAATACTCTAAGTTGTGCATACAGGCTGCATGAGTTCTCAAGGTTCTTCATTTTTTAAAGAGTTTTGTGTCCCCACTTAGGGAAAAGTAACATATGCCATGAAATTCTTTCGTAAAGCACTGTAAATATCCCTCCCATTTAAAACCTATTACTTTAACATAAAGAGAAAGAGCAAACATTTTAAAAGTAGGTAGCACAAATTCTTTCACACACACTCAATAAATATTAGTCTCATTTCCTTTCATCACTTTTATCATGGTTCATTAATACCTTAAAACTTGTTCTTTCTGGGTATTTCTTCTCCCCAGTTCTGAGTTATTGGGAAATGTTTCCCAGAGAGTTGTTGGTCAGTACAATGTGTTGATTAGTGTTATGAGATAAATAAAGAAAAACAGGCTTTATTTCACTACTTCTCAGAATCTCTAATACACTGAGGTCCACTAAGACTCTTTTGGAGGGTAATGTGATCTGAAATACTTTTGACTTTGTTGACCTGGAAGCTAATCATCTCAGGGGACCAATGGTCTTTTTAGAGATAATCCCAGCATCATCTATTGGTTCACCTGCCAAACTAAGCTTTTCTGTTTCTTTTCTTTCTTCTTTTCTCTCTATTTCTTTCGCTAATCAAACCATTTTCACTCTTTGTACTACTCTTTCTTCTATCTGTTAAAGTCTGTGGAACTTTAAACCTTGATAACTCAGGTGAATAAATCCTTAGTGTGTAATGATCCAAAATAAAACAGGGAACGCCTTAAGAAAAGAAAATTGGCGTTGACCTGAACATTCTGTGCTCATTGGAAGAAAAGTACTTAACAAATATGAAGAACCTAGGGAAATGCCTAGGATGGTATGGAGAAGAGAAATAGAGAAGGAATTAGGATATGAAGAGAGGGTTTACACCTACTGTGTGTTCAGCCTGACAGCATTCAGCTTTGGAATGTTGTCTTAACCGTCTGCAAGATGGTAGGGTTGACGTTTCTTTCTACAGTATTAGCGCTGAGCTAAATGCTTTACATGTGCTATCGAATTTAATCTTTACCACAGCCCTATAAGGTAGGAACAATTATTATCCGCATTTTAACAATCAGGTAACTGGCTCAGAAGAATTTTGAACTTGCCCAAGGTATCAGCAAATAAAGTAAGTAAAAGAGCCAAATTTCCAACCCTGGTAATTTGACCCTACAGCCTATTCTCTCAACCAGCATTCCAGCCTCCTCTCTTCATAGCGGGTGTCTGCTGCTTCCTCACTCCTGGAACAAAATACCTGACACCTACACCTTCAAGGAGAGTTGTATTTTGGCTCATGGTTACAGTCTCTTGTTGGCTGCATCCGAGACAGAAATGGAATGGAGGAAGGGCCAGGGCAGAGGAAAGCTGCTCCTGTCATGGTCAGGAAGGAGAGAGAAAGGAGGAGACCACCCTTCCAGGTCACAACCACCCACCTCACCACCTCTTTCAACCAGGCCCCGCCTCCTAACAGCACATTTAACTAGACAGCGCCCCTACGATCCAATCACCTTCCAATCACCTTCTCTGAGCACATGAGAGTTTGAGGGTCATTCTTGATCTAAACCTTAACAGAGGATGATATACTGCTTTTTTCATCACAGAAAGATTTACCATATTAGTTTAGAATTGCCTAGGTAAAACTTCCTTATGGTCCTGATAAGGCCTTGGAGATGATAAAGTCTTACATGACCCTGGAATTTTCAGACTTGAGACCAGAAGCCTATTTCAAAATAAACACAAAACTATTACAGATATAATTGAAAATTTACAGCCCCAACTCATGCTTAATTTTGCTTAGCAATTGGACAAAACTAAAACTCTTCTTTCTAAATAAGAACAGAAATACCCGTTCCCTTACAATGTTCACAAATCTTCCTTTAATATAAATTTTGCAAACAACATTAGAGAGAGACTTTGGTAGAGAGCCAAGTCTTTGAACATCCACTCTAACCTTGTGCTTCATATCAGGCTATAAAAACTAGGCTATGACTTTCCAAAGAAACTGTAAAGGATGATTTGGTGTGTTTCATCTTTTTTCACTCTCCACCAATAGTCTTCTTAATTACATTTTCATATAAACTCTGTAGATGTTAAATAAAGATGGCCCCATTCAATATTTTTATTCAATCTTCTCAGAAAATGGGTCCTGTTTTTCTTTGGGCAATCAGTACGCAGTTCCTGATGCATTTCCATAGCATTCTGATGATGTATTTCCCCAGCCATTTTTCATAAGGGACACTTGCACTCTTTTATTTTTAAGATAAAACTTTCCAGAGTCATCTGAATCCATCATACTATTTAAAAAATACAGTTGTCACCCTTGTCAAGGCTGAAGGAACCCAATGGAGAAAATCTTAGTTTGTTTGCTCTGTGCCATTCCTGCTGCCTGCTAAGTGTTAAACCTCTAACAGGGTGTCATCACTTTGCAGTAAAATATTTCCAGTACTTTTCCAAAGCCGAAGGCTTTCCAACTTGATGGAGATGTGTGCATATCTGTGACCCAAAAAAGACATATGCCACCAGGTTTCCGGGCTCACAGTGCCTCCGTAGGTGACTCCATTATTTTCATTTATCACTCACAGTAGTAACCCTTTTAAGCTGTCCCTTTCAGGATTCCATTTGCTAAAGAAATTGAGCTTCTCTTGGATCCCTTGATTGAAAGGATACTTTTAAGAGGATTAGTGCTGATAGACAAGAAGGCAAAAAAGATTTGTTTCCCTTTTTTTCTGTTAAAGTCCTAGATTAGCTCTTCAAATGAAGTTATGGATTGGCATAAAAATTATCCAGTAAGTAGGTTCAAAAAGTAAAAATGTTAGCTACTATGATTTGAAAAAAAAGCACAGTGTGTCTAGTAAGGCTTTTATTCACACAAGAATTCTACCCCCCAGGGATGAGGAGATTTAATGCTCCAACACTATGTGATAACTTTTCATTACAAGCTTGACTTCAGAATATAATTTTTAAGTGGGAGAAGATGGTCAAGAAGCAATAGGGAATGCATTTGTAAATGAGTAAGAAATAATCAATTGTGGAGATAACTAGCCAAAATCAGAGTGGACAAGAGTGTGTCGCGATCAAGTATAGTTCCCACAGTATGGTTACTTCCTAGGCCATCTCATTTGATACAGACCATTTCTTGTTCAGCGCCTAAATTTTCAGTCCCATTTGGTTCAGCACCAGGAAAATTAACTCATTGACACAAAAATCATAGAATTTTACATGATTGCATTAGCAGATGGTACAAACAAAATAAACCTGGCAATTTTAATCAGAGAATATTTGAAAGTCTGCTTCGAGCAGATTTTTTTTTTTTAAGAAATGTTTATGCTTTTGAAGAATGGCACTGAGCCCTTGAAGAGCTGAAACTCTAATTATGTGAAGTTGGATTGCAAGCTGGGCAGCAGGTTCCTCTCTCTGTGCTCCCTCTGGGTGCTTTTCTGTGTTGACCTGTACAAAAGCAAGGGTCATCCCAGAGAGAAGCAGCTCACTCCACTCTCTGCTGTGTGCGGAGTTCAGTGCCCACAGCCATTCGAACTTTGCCTTCACTGTCATGCATTTCAGGGAAGCACAGACTGCAGACAGGAAGAACTGTGATTTTGTGCCTCACCTAGAAATAAAAGAAGTGTACTATTGAGGTGTAAAGTAGAGAATTGGAGCTACTGAATCAGGAAGAGCTTGTGGGAAAGAGCAGAGAT